GGGGGGGGGGGGGAACGGTAGCAATTGCGATGTGAACCCTGGGTTCGCCATAGACTACCATTTGGCGCAACCCTTCCTCAAACATCGCCAAAACAAACTCGTAATCAGTTGTCAAACAATAATTGAGACATAAATTTGACACTAATTTTAGCGTTGAATACGGATTTATGTAACGATTACGAGAACTGATTATACATTACATTTATAGACAATTATTTGATACCCTGTTTGTGTGTTTAGTATTGCATTTCACGTGTAATTTAATGGGTTTTATGTGTTTTGTTAGGTATCGGAGCCGACAATGCCGCACAACGTCTCCTACTCGAGCACCGGGTTCACCACATCGACAAACGGTTCGCAAAACTCGCTGAACATGTCGGTGCCCTCACCGGCAGGTTCTAGTATAAGCTCGTCAACAGCCGGCCCGCAGTCACCGTTCGTTTTGCCCCGTAATGAGAGTTTTTTGTTTGTTTTTTGTGTTTACTTTTTATTGATTTATAGCTTTTTATTTGTTTCGCAAACTTTTTCTATCATTTTATACTTTGTTTCGTGTTTTTGTTTATTTGTGTTATATTTTTTTAATTGGTTTTTCATTTTGAACTCAATATTAGTTTTGTTTTGTTTTTTTGTTAAACTTTATTTGAGATTAAGTTTTTGTTTGTTTTGTGAATTGATTTATAGTTAGTTTAACGCTTTTCCCCTAAAGACTAATGACTGCCTAAACTACCCGTCCGTTAGTGAGAGTCCAGTGATTTAATATTATGTAATGTTGGAGACTAATAGATAAATAGGATTTTAATTAACACTTAATATATAGCGAGAGTTGTCTATTGACTAAACCCTATGCTCTAATTGTGTCTCTAATATCTGTCTAACCGCTAACCACTGCCTACCTGTGCGCGCCTCATTGAATATCAAAACCAATGTATTTCATATGACTAACACGTTGCTCTCTATACACTACCTGTGCTCCCGTACGAACACCAGTGGCCGAGACACCACCACCGGCCTACTCGCCCCGCGATGACAACGCTATGAGTAGCGACAACTCGATGGACACGACGGATATGCCGCCCGATGTGCAACAGATTGCATACCAGGAGCCGCAGTTCTGGTGCTCTATAGCCTACTACGAGCTGAACTCGAGGGTCGGGGAGGTATTCCACGCGCAGACCAACTCCATAGTGATCGACGGCTTCACCGATCCGTCCAATAATAACAATCGCTTCTGTTTGGGGCTCCTGTCGA